ATAAAAGCACATATTATCAATGATCCTTCTTGTACTAACATTACTAAATTCAGCTAACTAGTTTTTTTTAGAGAAAAATCGCTAGAAATGTTATTTTCAAATTTTCAAAGTTTTTTAATGGTGAAATTCCATTTAATTTAGCATTAATTTCATTGGAATTTCACCATATGGAATTTTTTTTTTTTTTTTTTTTTTTTTTTTTTTTTGAAAATTAAAAAAAAAAAATTTCTAGAGTGTTTTCATGTTCAATTGTCAAAAAATTAATTACAACTTAATTAGCTTATATGATATTACTAGGGATATTATATTATATTATCTGAGAAACATTGGGTATTTTGTTGTTTCTTTTTTCATAAACGATGTCGTGACTAACAAATTAATTAGCAACAGATAAAACTAGAGATATTACAATGTCTGGGGAAACATTTGTTGTTTCTTTTTCATGTTCTTTTCAAAACGACAATGTGACTAAGAATCTGTGGATGCGTGTTGGACAATCATCCGTCAATTATTGTATCTTATATGGGGAAATACAGCAGTGTACAGTATATGTAAAGAATCCTTTCGAACTTAGCGGTCCATTGCGTCAGGCGAAGTAGAGTTCACCTGTTTCAGTATGGTCAGCACTGTGCTCAGCCGAATAACGAAACGTTGTTATTAAATACAAATGGATAAAATACAATTGTGCTTAAACGCTCAAACACAAACTGAGTATGTATATGGTTTGTATAAAGGTAGAAGATCTCGATTGATATCGAGATCTTCTACCTTTATTGTCATTTTGTACAGGGTATCCTCCAACACAATTAAGTATTACGTACCAACATGTTATGCGCCATATAGGCCGTTGACTCAGATTTCAGCCAGCTTTTACGTTCGGATAGTTTTTTGTCTTTTCAAGATCAAACTACAAGGCTGCAGTTGTTTGCAGCTGTTGTTTGATTTCGAAGTTTTCTCTCTTAGTAGCGTCGATGTCCAGATATATGGCCGGGTTTTCGAACTCGAGACTTTTAGATTTGGCAACCATGAGCTTTACCAGCCCGACCATGCGGTTGTGACGGACTATAACCATTTGAGGAGCTTTTTGTCGCGAGCCCATGTGTCTTGACATGGACGACCTGGGTCGGAGAACTCGTGCCGGAATCAGACGATCAGTAGACAATCGGCCGTCAACACTATAATATATCAGTTGCAGAGGCGTAGCGACGGGGGGGGGGGGGGTACATATGTACCCGGGCAATGACCCTAAGGGCGCCAAAATAAGCTCATTTTAGCTGCTATTTTGAATTATAAAAATTAAAAAAAAAATATATGGGGGGCGCCAAATTGAAAGTTTGTCCCGGGCGCCGGGAGGGGTCGCTACGGCTCTGATCAGTTGTTTTAGTCATGTGTCCAGGAGGGGGGGGGGTCATTCCGGAGCAAGTCATCCGTCCTCAGGATAAAACAGAATTTTGAAGTATTAAAACTATTAAATCTAAATAGAAATTATATTTTAGCCACCACCCCCCCCCCCCCCCCATCAGTGGAAGTTTTAAGTACACACTCCCCAACAGTTTCAAGTGCTCCCAACCCCACCCCTATTCCCCGGGCAAAATGTCCTAAATAAATCCTGTAACAAACGATTAGATTGAAATCGTTTCATAACATTGCACACGGATTTAGTTCTAAATCTCTTACTCTAATTGTGAAAACAAGTAATTAAAAAAAGTCTAGTGACAATTTTAGCGCAATTTCCTTGTGTTATCTAAAAATAGCTCTGTCGTAGCGTAAATCAAGAGCAGGGTTAGTAAAACCATTGTTAGTTATTAAAACGTTTTTTATTAATTTTTTTTCAGTGTTTTACATGTTTTATTTACAATAGAGTTACATGACTAAAAACCATTGCGCGCCTACTGCACGTGATGACGCAGCCACTGAACGTGATGGCGCAGCTATTGAACGTGATGACGCGTGTGGTGTGGTTGGAAAAATATGCCTACTAATTCGGTCCAAATTTTAATTAATTCAAAAAACATTTTGTGACCGAACGAAAGGATATTTCTGAAAACTTTCTTCGGCAATATTGTTCTAAATTATGGCAGGAATTGATTGGTACATGTTTCAATTCGCTAAGTGGTCTGGTTGCCGAGATATGGGCCAAAAACTGCATTTTTTTCGAGGTTTTTTGGCTTTTACGGGAAATACATGAAAGAAACCCGGAATTTTTATGGCCTATGTTCATCCTCGTAGCTTGCTTAACATAATTGCTTTTGGAACTAGTCATCGATATTGCTTCGTTGAGGAGGAGATACGACTTAAAGCTGCGGACACACATCCATCCATCCATCCATCCATTCATTCATACATCCGGAAATGACGGGTTAATAAACGCAATTCTCCAGAATGGAAATTGCGCTAAAAAAGTATGGCGGTAATCTATTTAGACTAATAATCTGCTAATTAGTGGCGAGTTTATGGTGACGACACAGATTAATGTGCAGCCCCCCCCCCCCTTCCCCCTCCCACCATTATCACCCGCTCCCAGGAGCTGTTCCTACTTTTTTTTTATAATATTGCCAAGAGATAAATTATCCAGGATGTAGCTTGAATGAAAACAAACCGGATGCTACGCTACTTTCGTTTTCAGCACACTCGTCACTTTAATTACAGTTGTCGCCCTTTCCACAAATAAATGCAAGGCCGGTGATTCAATTTGACCCCTGAACTTTTCTTTGACACGGCTTGACGTCTGCTGATCAAATGATGTGTGGTGGTGTAAGTGGTGGTTGTGTTCATGTGTGGTTGTGGTGCTTGACAGTAGTGTGTGGTGGTGGTGGTTGTGTTAATTGGTGGTGCCTGTTGTAAACTGTTGTTGTAGTGTTTGACGGTAGTGTGTGGGGGTGATTGTGATGTGTGTTTTTATGATGATGAGCTATGATGATTAGTACCTGGTGTTGTGTGGTGTTATGCGGTGGTGGTGGATAACGATATTGGTGATGTGTGTTGGTTTCTACCGATTACGACGGCATACCTTGTTGAAATTTTTCACCTTTTCGACTGTCTTTATTTTCTATTTTTAAAACTGTTATTTGATTCTACACCAAAGTCATTCTTTAAATAGAATACTTCCCATCATACTTTATTTAACCCCCCCCCCCCGCCGCCCCTCATACACCCCGCCACAGGTACACAGAAGGTCATACTTTCCGCTTGACGAACTCCGTGTGACCCAGGGGGCGGGCAGGTGGAGGGGGGGGGGGCTATCCCGTGTAGGTCATCAAACAAGGAGTCGCTGTGTACCTGATTTTAAAACCCAACCTGTGTGTGCACCTGTGTCGTCTGCTGCGTGGCCCCGGGTGTTCGAGATCTAGTGCACCGTCAGGTCGGTAGAGGCGTCAATACTGCCGGCACTTGTTCGGGTTAGTGGCAGGTAGAGGCGTCAACACTGCCGGCACTTGTTCGTGTTAGTGGCAGGTAGAGGCGTCAACACTGCCGGCACTTGTTCGGGTTAGTGGCAGGTAGAGGCGTCAACACTACCGGCACCTGTTCGGGTTAGTGGCACTTATTCTGTTGGACTAATTAGTGAATGTGTGTGGAGGGATCATTAACTTTTTAAAATTTAGATTGCGATTACTAGCTGAATTTTAGTACACAATTATTTTAAATGTTGGACTATTTGAAATATAGTATTACATAACAGTAGTTTTAGTTGTAGTTTTTTGTTCGGAAAATATTCTTATTTATAATTAAGCGATTAATTAATTAATTCTCTTTTTGGTGGCCTATTTATCCACTGGCTTTTACTCTTAGAAATAGCAATTCACATTTTTGATATTCGTGTTGCCGAAATTGGGGGGCGCTAATAACATGACGAATTTTTTGTTTAAATATAGAATCTAGATGCTTTGATGTTCAGTATAGATGCGTTGCAAACTATTTACAAGTCTGGCTTAAGTCGTTTAAATTTATACTTACATCTTAAGCGAGAAAGAAAGGTTTAAGATTCAAGTATCATCTTCGGCCATACTAACTTAGGCTAATATATATATATATATATATATATATATATATATATATATATATATATATATATATATATATATATATATATATATATATATTAGAGCCTTTTATATATAAATGCATACATGCATGCACATGTGTGTGGACATATGTGTGTTTGTGTGCAGACTTCAATGTATGTGTATATATGAATATATATATGAACAATGTAGATCCCCAAGATAAGGCCCATGTATGTACGTATAAAGTAGAAAGAGTGTTTTAGAATCCAACAAAATGTAATTGGTATACTTGTGTCAAGTAGGACTATACCACATTACTATATTGTTCAATCTTTAGGGCATCATGACATTTTTTTTTAAATATCCTGTTTTAGGGGTCAGCTGGGTGCTAATGCTTTTATTTTTTTTTACCTGTAGCTTTTTAACGTTTTTTTACCTGTAAATAAAGATCAGTCTTTTGTGTAACTTGTGGGGAGGGGAAAGGCAAGGTTTAACAAACAATTGGGGATTTCCGAAAACAAACTCGTTCTTATTGTAAAATTTTCGTAGGTAGCCAGTTGCAGTATTCTCATTTATATATATTTCGTGATAGATTCATTTACTTCTAGCTAGTGTAGCTTCATTTACTCTCTTGGTAGCCTCGGTTAATTTAATTGTAGCCACATTCCTTTTTTCATCAAGGTAGCCTTATTTAATCTGTTGGTAGTCTGATTTTATGTAATATCTATATTATCTTTTAGCCTAATTTTTTTTTAATCTTAAGGTAGCCTCTTTTAATCTAGTGGGGTTTAATTTCTTGTAATCTTAAGGTAGCCTCTTTTAATCTAGTGGGGTTTAATTTCTTGTAATCTTAAGGTAGCCTCTTTTAATCTAGTGGGGTTTAATTTCTTGTAATCTTAAGGTAGCCTACTATAGTCTAGTAGGTGTCTCATTCATATCAACCTGGTTATAGAAGTTTCTCTTTAACCTTTTGTTTTCAGTGTTACAACAGTGTGCTGTTTGTACTACACGTCATTGATCGTGAACGTGTTGAAAGTAAACAACACGCGTGCTCTATGCTTGCCGTGTCAACACCTACACGACACACGTCAACAAATTAACGCTGGAGGTCCGCTGCTAAATCATACGGCAACCTATATCCTGCTGGGAACTATTTAATGCTGAGTGATGTACATCGTTCTACACGTAAAAACTAACATATCGAAAGTGTGATAGATCTGTAGAACAATGGATATCGGCTAGTGGAATTTATGATATTTGGCAACATTGGAACATTCTAGAAATTAGCATGGCGCTAAGGGGAGGAGCTCAGTCCCAGGACAATCGAGCATTCCAGGTAGAAGTAGTTTCAGTCTTACCTTACTGTATTCAATCTCACCTTTATCTCTATAGTTTTCACTCACCTTTTCACTTCATCCTCATCTGTTTACTCCAATCTCACCTTTTTTACTTGAGACTCACATTAGTCATTTCAGTCTCACTGTTGTCATTTTGAGTTGATGACTTTTCTTCTCAGTCATTTTAATGTCACCCCCACCCATGCCATTTCAAATGCACAATATCGACACAACAGCTTTAACCATGTATCAAATTGTCTTTAACACACAAAAAATAAAACGCCTTCAAAAGACCTGTGAATATTTAGTGGTATGCCATGTTCGTGACAATGAAAGCTAACTAAGACTGAACGAAATCGAATCAGGAAAATGATACGGCTTTGTAATTGCACGTCTACTTCCCTGGTACTGTAACCTCGTCATATAAATAGATAATGAAGTCAAACTGCGCCCAGCCGCCTTTACTGTTCCTAACGTGAGTCGCGTACCCATACGAGCTGGGTATTATTAACAGTGGTTTCACAAGTAACTTTTTTCAGACAGGGTAGGTGAACTAGAGTTCACATGCTTCCTTGACCTCGTCATTTGAAGGGGTAGTGGGATCAAAGCAGAGCGGATGCAGGGAACTCCTGCGGGCTCGAAACTGGGATCCGAACTCGAGATCTTCGTGTTAAGAGTCATATGCTCTACCGTTCGACAACGCTGTCCAATTAAAAACAAAATGCTGATGTAAAACGTCCCTGTTTTTTGTTTCATTTTTTTTACTAACGCACATTTAATAGTGCGATGTAGTCTATTGAGCGCGAAAAGGCGAGATTATCAAAATTTGACAAATTACTATAATGATAATTAATTAATAACAGCTAGAAAATTACCCATATGGTTTGGATGCAGATATTGCTGCTCTCATATACTCGCCACAGCTATGATGTACTTGTTTGTAACGAATTAGCGGAGTCGGAAAAACTACAAAATTGCGTCAATCGCTCTAAAATGGTAACAGGGTGATATCCGATACAGTGTTTCTTCCAGACTTTTTTCTCCGGAAGGGGGGAGGGCACTTGAATTTTTCGGAAGGGGTAGCGGTCTAAAATTTCAGGGGGGGGGGGGGGGGGCGGACACTGTTAAAAGTATGTTTTCTATATAAATTCCATTTCGTTCAGGGGGGGTAGATTTTCTTCGAAAGAGCTCTGTCCCTTTCCCCCCCCCCCCCCCCCCCCCCGCCAGAAGAGATGCCTGGAAGAAACTATGATCCCATATGGGCTGACACTTCTGAGAGTTTGCACATAACACAGTCGTTTTACGTATCGCTGTTGTACGGGGTGGTATATCCTTTTTATGTTTGAGGTAGTTAGGTGGTATAGAGCGATACAGTGGCGTAGCCAGGATCGTCTCAAGGGGGTCCAATTTTTACCCGGGGACAAACTTTCGATTTGCACACCCCCCTCCCTCAAACTTTCGATTTGCACCCCCCCCCCTCAAACTTTTGATTTGCACACCCCCCCCCCTCAAACTTTCGATTTGCATCCCCCCTCATACTTTATATATATATATACCGAGGGGTCTATGGGGGGGGGGGGATTATGACCCCCCTAAACCCCCCTGCCTACGCCACTGGAGCGATATTATGTAACGATGCCGTAAATTTGATTACTTTGAATTTTTTTTTTTTTAAAGTAGAATGATTGGTTGAACGAGTCTACACACTAGGTTTAGACACACATATCCTTGGGGCAAGATTCAAGAACTATTATGTAATAAGGTCATGGGCTCTGGAATATTGGGCGATGATACATCAGGTCAAATGGTCGGTCAAGATTGGCCCATGGGAGTCTTATTTTATACGTGAACAATCTATTATAAAGATGTGAGTTATATTTAATGACTACAAGAAACTTGAACTATTCACAGAATCTATTTGTTTTCTTTAAATAGACATGTGTCACTGTGTCGCTGGACTAGAGAGTATTTCAAATAGGGCTTTAACCCAGTTGAAGTTAGTCTTGGCGTGTAGTGATGAAACAGGCACATTGCTGGCTCGTTGATTTCCTAGAGTCTAGAGTCTAGAGTGATATGTGAATATTGAATGTAATGTAGTGAGAGTTGGGAGGTTTAGGGTTAATTGTTTTCAGCAGAAGGGGGTTGTGGTTTAAAGTGTCTAGAAGGTAAATCGGGGTTTGGGGTTTAAAAGAGTGTACAGAATGGGAAATGTGTTGAAAGGAGTGTTGAAAGGAGTTGAATCACGCAGCTATAATTATACATCAGGATAATATATATATGTGTGACATAGTTTTCAAAGGCCCTGTTTTAAGGCGCAATAACTCTGTATTGTAGTTCTCAGACAGCGTCATGTTATTTTTATCTGACTCACCTGGTGATTATTTGGAACACTCCTTAATTAAGTATTGAGAAAAATAAAAGTTGAATACTAGCTACCAAAAAAAATATGTTTAGTTTCAGATTTACTAACTACTAACACATAAAGCTGCATATAGGGTGTCAATGTGTATTCAAGGGCTTACGACCGATTAACGAACGTTTTTTAACGCGCAGTAAACGTAATAAGTAGAACACACAAGTAGGAACTTTTTAAAAACTAATTCTCATCAAATATTAAGTACATTCCGGTGGTTAGATGACGTCACCTAATTTTTGACAGATTTATACAAGACTTTCTCAATGGATCGTAACGATATATATATATATATAAATATATATATATATAGTTTGGGGGTTTCATCTGGGCTTAAAAGAGTTGAACCTTCGATTCGAGATATATTCTGATTAGAAAAAGGAAGGTCTATATCCTAAATTGTAATTAGAAAACATTCCAAACGCTACGCTAAGTCAGTGAACCGTGAAAAGGGGGAATTTTTTGAAAACTTCACTGGAGCTAATTATAGCCGCACGCTGGCTCTACGCGGATCACATCGGTAACTAACCTACACGCCGTGCCCAGATACTTGTATCTGACCTACACGCCGTGCCCAGATACTGCTATCTGACCTACGCACCGTACCCAGATACTTGTATCTGACCTACCACTGTGCCCAGATACTTGTATCTGACCTACCACCGTGCCCAGATACTGGTATCTGACCCACACGCCGTGTCTAGATACTGGTATCTGACCTACACACCGTGCCCAGATACTTGTATCTGACCTACACACCGTGCCCAGATACTGGTATCTGACCTACACACAGTGCCCAGATACTGGTATCTGACCTACACACCGTGCCCAGATACTTGTATCTGACCTACACGCCGTGCCCAGATACTGGTATCTGACCTACACGCCGTGCACAGATACTTGTATCTGACCTACACACCGTGCCCAGATACTTGTATCTGACCTACACACCGTGCCCAGATACTTGTATCTGACCTACACACCGTGCCCAGATACTTGTATATGACATACACACCGTGCACAGATACTGGTATCTGACCTACACACCGTGCCCAGATACTTGTATCTGAACTACACGCCGTGCCCAGATACTGGTATCTGACCTACACACCGTGCACAGATACTGGTATCTGACCTACACGCCGTGCCCAGATACTTGTATCAGAGATCAGCACGCAACGAAACTGTTCGAAAATATCGTTTCGTGTGATTTGTTTCGTCACAATTTTCACTAGGTCGTAGTTTTTTATTTATTTTCTTCCCCATACGAGTTGTAAGGCCAACAATGATATCAATGTGTTTAGAGCAGAGTGCTAGCTACACGTTCTACCATTCCACCACGATGTAATGTTGTTGTTGTGTTTTTTTTAATCTTATAACGACCCTTTAACCGTATTGTTCGCCTGTTCGGCTTGATCAACATAATGCAATATTTTTTGTGTTCTGACGTTTTGAATTACAGTAATCTACAGGTAGCATTCTGAGCTTTAGAGCAAATTCACTATCAACTTGATTAAGTTTTTGAAGGCCAGAGTCTTGACTTTCTAATAGCATGCTGTTATGTAGAAACTCTTTTGTTAGTCGTTAAAAAGATTACATTAATTAGTTTAATTTAGTTTTTCTTGCTTCTCATCATCGTTATTATTTCCTTATATAAACCTCAGTCGGGGGGGGAGGGTATTATCCAGGGGGTTTATGTCGCGGGGGGGGGGGGGTGTCCAGGGGGGTCATGTCGCGGGGGGTTTATGTCCAGGGGGTTCATGTCGCGGGGGGTTTATGTCCAGGGTGTTTATGTCGGGGGGTTTTTGTCTAGGGGGTTCATGTCGCGGGGGGTTTATGTCCAGGGGGTTCATGTCGCGGGGGGGGGGCGGTTTATGTCCAGGGTGTTTATATCGGGGGGTTTTTGTCCAGGGGGTTTCTATCCAGGGGGCTTTTGACCGGAGACCCAGTAGACACTATCGGCATTCTTATTTACTTCAGGTTCATTGACCTGTAAAAAAAAATGTAAATGTAGACAAATATAAATGAATCCGTAGACCATTCAATATTTTGTTTCATAAAATCGATGATCTATTTGATTTGATGTCCCAGGCTGATCAGGGCCCAGGCGAACACAAGTACGATGACCTTGACGATGACCTTTACCAGCCGTTCAGCAACCCGCTCCGTGATGAGGACAGGAAACCTCCACGTGACCCGCCTCGACCAATCGGTCGCTCACCTGACGTCACAGATGATGACAGGTCTTCTCCTGATAGAAGCTACTCGCCTGAGAGAGACAGGTCTCCACCACATAGAAACAGATCTCCGCATGATAGAAACAGATCACCGTCAGATAGACGAGATAGAAGGAGACATTCCCCAGATAGATATAGAGACAGAGATAGATCCCCATCAGATAGAAATAGGGACAGAGATAGATCACCATCAGATAGATATAGGGACAGAGATAGATCACCATCAGATAGATATAGGGACAAAGATAGATCACCATCAGATAGATATAGAAATAGATCGCCGCCAGATAGATATAGAGACAGAGATAGACCCCCATCAGATAGATATAGGGACAGAGATAGACCCCCATCAGATAGATACAGAGACAAAGATAGATCACCATCAGATCGAAACAGAGACCGGAGACACTCCCCCCAAGACCGACGACCTGAAAGACGCCGACCTTCACCAGATCGACACCCCAGCAGACGACTTTCCCCCAGCAGAAGCGACAGCGACGACAGCCGAGCATCACCCAGAAGATCCCGCCGCCCACCCTCGCCCGCCGACAGCTACGATGACCCCTGGGATTCGATGCCCCGAAAAGGAAAAAAACCCTCCACCCCTTATTCTAAAACGCCTCCAAAAGATAAGCCCTCCACGTTAAACTCTCAGAAACCAGAGTCTAAATACAACACGTACGAGTCATACGCACCCAACTATCAGGGTTACGATGGACCAAACAATGACCCGTACAGAAAATCCAACGGACTCAATAATAACAACAATGTCAAGAAAATTGGGAGACAAATTTTGGGCCCCGAATCTTTAACACCGAGTGACAGCAAAAGTCGAGACAGTACGTCCTTTCCATCCCAGGTCAGTTTTAGTAAAGTTTATTTTATTTTATTTTGTTTCTTAAATACTCTTTTACTAGATCGTATAATATTTTGAATGTTTTTATTAACTTACGATTAGCTTGTTGCCTTTAGGATTAGATTTTGTGATGAAATATCTCTAGCCATAACTGATAAGGCCCTGCGAACATGACGGTCAGTTAGTTAGGTGAAGTAGAGTTTACCATTTTCTTTGACCTCTGGATAAGGGTGGTCATGGATATTATGTTCAGCAAGTTTAAGTTTTTTCTAACCATCGGTAACTATCGGAGCTGGGTGGACTCAAAGACGTCCTACGGACTCAAATCCAGCTTCCGAACTCTTGACTTTCGGTGTTCCATAATAATTGATTGATACGTGCTAGTTGCTAAAAGAGTTTGCTTATTAAACAAATGCCTGTGTATTGATTCAGATAATTCATTTTTAATTATTGTTTTTGTTCAATTAAAACTACTTGCCAAAATGTAAGGACAATGCTGTTTTTAAAAAGCTGCAATTTTTTTAACAGGCGTGCTATTTGTATGAAAATTATCAACCTCGAAGTTTCTTAAAATTATCAATTTTTTTTTTCAACTGTTCATTTCTAGGCATTGCAAAAAGTATCGTACATTTCGTATCCTCTAAACCAGAGTTTCTTCCAGACATTTCTTCGGGGGAGCCCCCCCCCCCCCGATGAAAGTCTACCGGCCCCCGAACGAGATGGAATTTATATAGTAAACATACACTTTTACTAGTGTCCGCCCCCCCCCCCCAAATGTTGACCGACCCCCCCCCCCCCCGAAAATCTCAAGTCCCCCCCCCCCCCCCCCCCCCGGAGAAAAAAGTCTGGAAGAAACACTGCTCTAAACAAGATGATAGTTTAATCATTTAACCCTTCCAGGGCTCGATGCTGAATATCGACGACACGAACGATAAACGAAAACTCATCTACGGGGTGGATGAGAACGAGGAGAGGGGCAACTGGACTGGGAAGTTTGACTTCATCCTCTCGATGATTGGATACGCCATTGGTTTGGGCAACGTCTGGAGGTTAGTGGTAGAGGATGATGTGTTAGTGGTAGAGGATGATGTGTTAGTGGTAGAGGATGATGTGTTAGTGGTAATGGTAGAGGATAATGTGTTAGTGGTAGAGGGTGATGTGGTAGTGGTAGAGGATGATGTGTTAGTGGTAATGGTAGAGGATAATGTGTTAGTGGTAGTGGTAGAGGATGATGTGGTAGTGGTAGAGGATGATGTGTTAGTGGTAATGGTAGAGGATAATGTGTTAGTGGTAGAGGGTGATGTGGTAGTGGTAGAGGATGATGTGTTAGTGGTAATGGTAGAGGATAATGTGTTAGTGGTAGAGGGTGATGTGGTAGTGGTAGAGGATGAAGTGGTAGTGGTAGAGGATAATGTGTTAGTGGTAGAGGATATTGTGTTAGTGGTAGAGGATAATGTGTTAGTGTTAGAGGATAATGTGTTAGTGGTAGAGGATAATGTGTTAGTGGTAGAGGATAATGTGTTAGTGGTAGAGGATAACGTGTTAGTGGTAGAGGATAATGTGTTAGTGGTAGAGGATAACGTGTTAGTGGTAGAGGATAACGTGTTAGTGGTAGAGGATAATGTGTTAGTGGTAGAGGATAACGTGTTAGTGGTAGAGGATAATGTGTTAGTGGTAGAGGATAATGTGTTAGTGGTAGAGGATAATGTGTTAGTGGTAGAGGATAATGTGTTAGTGGTAGAGGATAATGTGTTAGTGGTAGAGGATAACGTGTTAGTGGTAGAGGATAATGTGTTAGTGGTAGAGGATAATGTGTTAGTGGTAGAGGATAATGTGTTAGTGGTAGAGGATAACGTGTTAGTGGTAGAGGATAATGTGTTAGTGGTAGAGGATAACGTGTTAGTGGTAGAGGATAATGTGTTAGTGGTAGAGGATAATGTGTTAGTGGTAGAGGATAATGTGTTAGTGGTAGAGGATAATGTGTTAGTGGTAGAGGATAATGTGTTAGTGGTAGAGGATAATGTGTTAGTGGTAGAGGATAATGTGTTAGTGGTAGAGGATAATGTGTTAGTGGTAGAGGATAATGTGTTAGTGGTAGAGGATAATGTGTTAGTGGTAGAGGATAATGTGTTAGTGGTAGAGGATAATGTGTTAGTGGTAGAGGATAATGTGTTAGTGGTAGAGGATAACGTGTTAGTGGTAGAGGATAATGTGTTAGTGGTAGAGGATAATGTGTTAGTGGTAGAGGATAATGTGTTAGTGGTAGAGGATAATGTGTTAGTGGTAGAGGATAATGTGTTAGTGGTAGAGGATAACGTGTTAGTGGTAGAGGATAATGTGTTAGTGGTAGAGGATAACGTGTTAGTGGTAGAGGATAATGTGTTAGTGTTAGAAGATGACGTGCTAGTTATTTGTTTTTGTTTTTTTTTGTTTGTTTTTTTTTTTTGCGCAGTTTTCCGATTCCGGATTTTTCTGGGAACCATTAGGAGTGCATGAGCATTGTGCTTTGCTTTATCATAAACTCGAATTTTTCAAAAACAAATCAAAATTTGCTGATAGTACAGGATAATACTGAGGGAACGCATTGTTTCTTTACATTCTCTTATTTATTTGAATATTTCACTCCTCTCGCAGGTTTCCTTATCTCTGTTATCGTAATGGTGGCGGAGCTTTCCTCTTCCCTTTTATCCTGATGATGTTCATGATAGGGCTGCCACTTTTTTTCTTGGAATCATCGCTCGGACAATTCACTAGCTGCGGAGCTACGACCTGTTGGAATTATGCCCCTTTGTTCAAAGGTAAATAAGTCTGTTGGAATTATGCCCCTTTGTTCAAAGGTAAATAAGTCTGTACAGTAAAAAGAAAATCTGATTGAGCCTTTACATAGCTAGCCATTACTATTCCTGCAAAAGGTATAACCAAGCTTTTGGTAGGCTTATAGGACTATGGTTTGTTCTAGAATGTGCTTCGATATTAGGTTAATAACTTGGCTTTTATTGTATTATGTTTAGCGCAATGATTATTAGTTGATATACATATGTAATTTGTAATCAGAGTTGACTACGTGGTTTGGTTTGGGTCAGGGGCGGAACTACAGTACCGCCAGACCCCGCAATGCGGGGGGGCCCGGGCCATTTAGGGGCCCACAGCCGACCATAATCAATTTATTTTTTTAGTTAAAAAAAATCTTGATACATTTTTGACTTTATGGTTGTTGTGTAAAAAGAATACTGTAGCTGCGGTTTCATTATCTTTATTCTATAGACACCATCCCGGGTCCTCTTTCTCCAACAATCAAACACACGCTGTTGTCGGAAAAATTCGTATGAAAATCGCGTGAATGATAGGCAAGCGTTCAAACCACTTCCATGACTTATTTCCCTTTTTCAAATAGTCAAGTATGTGTGCTCTTAAGCTCCTTTTAATAGATGTGCACTAAACAAATTAAAAAGCAATTACATCTCTTAATTATTATTTTAAAAAATTCATAATAAAGAATGACAAAGCATAAAAATGAAATGTATTTAAAACTAATAATATAAATACAAAAAAACACGAAAATAAACATAACGCGACATGGTTTTTTCATGCTTCATATTCTTTTGACCGACTAACATACTGGAAACATTAAACATATATTTAAAACAGAGATTTTCAGACTAATAGCACTCACACACACAGAATGGATAGTAAGACTGATCTTCGATTTTACGCTGTTTACGATTGTCACTATTAAAAAAAGAAAAAAAAAATTAGCACTCACAGAATTGTGACGTGTTCTTGTAACTTGTTTTAATTTCTTTAAAAATTTTTTTAGTATTCTTAATTTAAAAAAAAAATCGAACAATCCCGAAATGAGTACTGTGTTGGTATTTTCGTATTTTGTTTATATATAAAGGCACACACACACACACACATATATATATATATATATATATATATATATATATATATATATATATATATATATATATATATATATATATATATATAGATGGGGCCCAAAAAATTTCTTTGCGGGGTGGCCCTTTTTTTCTAGTTCCGCCACTGGTTTGGGTTAGTTTGTATGAAGGCCATAAATAAATCTCTAGATTAGGGATTTTTTTTTGTTTCTTTGGAATAGATAATTGTTTACATATCAATCAGTATGGGTACTAGATCTACACAAACCAAATTCTCACAAGTGTGTTATGTCATGACTACATCTTTAAGTTACAAAAATTAATAAGTTGATTCACAAAATGAATTTTCAGGTGTTGGTGTTGCCATGGTGATTGTCTCCGCCATGACAGGTATATACTACAACATGATCCTGGGCTGGGCTCTCCACTACATGTTCGCCTCCTTCACCAGTGATTTACCTTTTCTTACCTGTGATAACAACTGGAATACTCAAGGTGGGTGAAACATCTGATTTGCTTCTGTAGTAATTCATTTTAGCAATACAATGTGTGACATTATTATGGTGGTTAGAAAATCAAAACACTTTAAAAATTAAAACCTAAGGATTCCAATAAGCTGGTTCTAACATAAAACGCATTACAGATAATGTAGAAATAAAGAAAAAAATGGGTTTATTTAAAACATAAGTGCCTACAATATTTTCATATAATGGTCATACTAAATATTTGGAATCCAACTATATCAACAATAACTGTTTAAAAATATACGTTAATAGGTTGTACAGTAAACCTCTACAGATATATTAATGCTTCAATATATTAGAGATAAGATTGGTGTAAATAATAGGTTTAAACTTATTAATCGTGCTTAGAACATAGTAACCTCATCAACTTTTGATCACTACCGCTACCTATGTCTTTTTCAGACATTTTGCTCCAGGGGGGGGGGGGGGGGGGGCACTTAAAAAACTTTTGGGGGAAGGGTGGACTTAAATTTTCAGGGGATGGTGGACACTGATTAAAGTATATAATTTCGTATATAAATTCTACTTCATTCGGGGCAGTGTAGACATTCACAGCTGCCGCCCCCCCCCCCCCCCCCTTCCCCCCAAGAGCTGCCAGAGAAAACTTTGATGGCAGAAAAAAGTTTAATCTAGACCAATTTCATGGCATGTGAAATGTTAAATCTGTGATTACAGATATTTTTCAGATAGATCTAAGTGATGGTTGCAAATATAAAGAAACATTTTTTTTTATTCACACAGACTGCAAACTGAAGCTGCCTAAAATGGAATGCGATGGAGACAGCAAAGGAGCTGATGGTACATGTAAAAATGGGAATGGGAAGGAGATAGGGTTGTGGAACAAAACTCTTTTCTTTGAGGCCACTGGACGGAAGTTGAAATCTCCTTCTCAAGAATACTGGGAAAGGTAGGCTCAGTTGTAGGTCTTAAACTTGAAAAGTTCTTGATTAGTAGGTTTTCTATAAGTATGTTTTTTATCTACTCAATTCCAAGAAGCTCTTTGGTTTTGTAACATGAGCATTTAAAAATGAGTGAAATTCTTGAAAAAATATGGCTGCAATGGAACTAATAGAAGGATCTATCATTTTTTTGTATTGTCCTTTATGTTGTTTTTTTTTTTAATAATGGCTTACTTGCTTTTTGTATTTATTTGATGGTGTAACTAATTATTTAATTTGCATTTTTTTCTTAGATCTGTATTAGGTTTCAGTGATGGCATCCACCATTTCGGACAACCTAAATGGGACCTTGCCTTGTGTCTGTTGCTTGCCTGGGTCATATGTTTCTTTTGTTTAATTAAAGGCATCAAAAGCACTGGAAAGGTACAAACTTGATGGTTGTGATACTTAAATATTTTCATGTAAACAATAAGCTACTCTACCTCAAACATCATTAAAGTCAAAACACGATATAATTATTTCTAAAACAAGAAAGTTTTAAAAAGTTGTTTTGTCTTTCAATGTATTTATAAATACTTCTCAATTTTATAATTATTTTTTGCCAAATCATAAGGCTAAATGATTAGGGGGTGGCTTTAATATTTTCCTTTAGTGATTACCTCATTCATTTCTTTTACAAATATCTGTAACATATTTGTCCTGAAGTTTATATATAGGCCTACTTCTCAATGGAATATTTGTTTTTTTATGCAAGCATATTTTATTGTGATATAAAAAAGGACACATTTTTGTAGTACTGTACACCATAATTGATGTTTTAACTGTGTTCCAAATGTTTTTTTTTCAGGTTGTTTATTTCACAGCCTTGTTTCCCTACGTTGTTTTGATAATTTTGTTGTTTCGTGGTGTAACCCTTGAAAATGCTGAAGTTGGAATTTATTATTTTATCACCCCAGTATTTGAAAAACTTGGAGATGCTAATGTAAGTTCACATGTTATATAAAATTGAACAAACAATTTGTTTTCAAAAATATGATGAACTTTAATTTAATAAACACAGTTGTTTAAATTTTAAACACAATGCTTTGTAAAAAAAAAAATTAAAAAATAGTAATAAACTATTCAAAACCAGATTTACAGTATAATTATCGATTAGAAATCTACTCATACTAAATAAACCTTATTTACTTATAAAGTTTTTTATACAAAATGGTTTTAAAACTCTACAATAATGGCTCTTGTAAATTATGCTTCCTTTAAGTTTTTAATTGTTTTTCAATATTTCTCTAAATTTGATATTTCAATTCTTCCCTTAGCATTAATGTACTTTAAAAAAAACTTCTTTTCTATCCTCATTAAATAAAAAAACCTTTAAAAATTCTGAAATGTTTACAAAATTTACATGTAAAATCTTTGTTTGAATTAGGTGTGGAAAGATGCAGCAAATCAAATATTTTTCTCCATGGGTATAGCAGGTGGTGGTCTAATCACTCTATCCAGCTACAATAGATTTCATAGCAATATTCTCAGGTAACATTTTTTCTAACTCATTTTCAGAGCATAAAAAAGGTCCTCTAAATTTTACCATTCTATATAAAAAAATAACTGGTTATTCATAATATTGTTAACTATAGGTGAACTTATGACGTAGCCTGCATTAACCTTTTTTTTTTTTTTTACTTTTTTTAGAGATTCCATAATTGTTACATTTGGTGACTCCTTGACCTGCATTCTTGGAGGATTTGTTATCTTCTCATATCTTGGCTACATGGCTGGTCAGCTGGAGGTGGACATCCAGGACGTGGCAGCTGATGGTAAAAACATTTTTTAAAGATTTTAGTAATAGCACTCTGTACATGCTCAAGATGTTAATGATGGGAGATAGAAAATAAGAATTGAATTAGACTGTAATATTGTTTCATTTATTTCTGTAATTTTTGTAGTTATCGACATCAAATTGGACACTAAAGTTATTTTTAATATTGTCCATTTTAAAACTACTTTTTTAAAAAGAAAATCAATCTAAAACAAAAACTATTGTAAATAGTTATTACTAAATAGATTTGTTTTACTTCATAAATTAATTTTTCTTTAATGAGCAACAATTTGTATAAAGTTGTTAACTAAATACAAATTCAAAAATGTATGTTTGTAGGTGCTGGTCTAGCATTTGTTGTTTATCCTGAAGCTGTGTCCAACCTCCCCCCACCTACCCTGTGGGCGTTGCTTTTTTTCATTATGCTGTTAACACTGGGATTGGATTCTCAGGTAAAAAAAAAAGTATTTACTAAACAATTGCTTAAATTTTAATTAACCTCATTTTGTCAACACCATTTTATCTATGATGTGTTTTAAAAAGATTTTTTTAAATTATTTCAGAAAGTGAAATGTAATATATTTTTTTAATATCTAAAAAAATGTTAAATGTTTAATTATTTTTTAAATTTTGTTTGGCAGTTCACAATGATAGAGACAGTATTAACTGGCATCATTGACCAGTTCCCTAAGTTACGGGCCAGAAAAGTTTTTGTACTTTTGGCTATTTGTATTGTACTGTTTATACTAGGACTTCCTCTTACATGCCCGGTAAGTAATGCAGTCAACGTAGTTGTGCTTTTTAAAATAAAAACTCTCTTTTACAAAATAATTGTTAACTCATGTTCATTAATACAATCAAAATTATAAAATAACTATTAGAAGTCTTTTTATAAAAGTAAAAACTCTTAATAAAGCAATTACGCTATCACTAAATTAGACTTCATATAAATCTAAGTTTAAACAGGTACATAATAACTGAAAACAACCACTCATTAGCAATAGTTGTGATCAATGTTTTACTCAGCATTATTAAGTTTCTGTAGACAAATATGGCAAAAATGTATTTTTATTAAATTTTTTCTCCTATCAGGGTGGCATGTACATGTTGCAGCTTATGGACAACTATGTTGGGGGGATGACACTCATCATAATAGGTTTTATTGAGGTGACATCAATTACTTACATTTATGGTAAGTTATAATATTTTTATCTTAAATTACAAAATAAATAGGGAATGGCTTAGTTGGATGTTAGAGCATAAGACTGCTAACCTGAATGGTTTGAGTTCAAATCCCAGGGTTTGTGTCTGTAGAACAACTCTCTACCCTACTATGATGGGTACCTGCTTTGTGTTTGAGAAGTTGAAGGCTGATGGCAAAGCACTAACTAGTTGATCCCTTTATATGCCGAGGTTACTCAAACAGGTGAACTCTACTTAACCTGCCCCTTGGATCATCAAGGTTACTTTTTCTGATTTTGATAATAAATCGTTCAATTATATAAAGCCTTAGTGGTATGATACTGGTTTGAATCCAATGTTTCCTCAGGTGTTCGACGATTCTGCCGCGATATACAGCTAATGACTGGCTCCACAATTTTCATTTACTGGAAAGTCACTTGGTGTGTGCTCAGCCCACTCACAATTGTTGTAAGTAATTTTATTTGAAGTTAGAAACTTACAAACTTGGTTGAGGAATCACAAGTCTTAAAAATCTGATCAATGGAATCAGAGTAAAAAGCACTGGGCAAGGGAATCAGAATCCTGAAGTTAAAAATCATTTTTTTTAAAGTGCGTTGGGGAAAATTGCAATGAATGATAAATAAAACATTTTAAAATCGCATCCACTACTTTCTGATAATTAGAGCTGTTTTATAGTTGCAGATAAGAAATTTTAGAAGTCCTGTCTTGTTATACAAAGTAAACTTACCATTTCAACATGTTTAAAAGCTTATAAATTGAAAGCATACAGGATGATTTACTATCAATAGTGGAAAACACAAGTGCTGTAATGTATTGTATTAATACTGGAAAACAATATTTCTTTAAACAATGCGATCATTGATTGTTAAAATGTTAAAAATTGTAATTGTAACAAATTTTATTTTTATTTTTCCAGTTCATCTTTATCTTCATGTTCATTGACTACAAAGGCACCAAGTATGACACATACACATACCCAGGCTGGGCGGATGCCATGGGTTGGCTCATGACTTTCACATGTATCATATCCATCCCAATCATTATGTTGTACAAGATATGTCGGGAGAAGGAAGGAAAAAGTATATGGCAGGTGAGGAAGATAAGCTGTGTGTTATTTTTCAATTGACAAAAGCAAGGGAGATAAGTTATTTGTTTGACATTCAAAATTAAGGAAGATAATTTATATAATTGCCATTAAAATCAAGGGAGATAAATTTGTTTTGAGTTTATTTATAGTAAAAGTTAAGGTAATCCTACTCCTGCCATTTATTTTAAATAAAGCAGGTTATTGGGATATGCTAAAAATAGATTTCAGAAGTTAAAAATAGTAAAACCTGAGATGTACCAATTTTTATCAGAATAAATAACAGTCAAAGAAACACATACCCTGTAGGCTTTTTCAAGTCATATCTTGATTTCCTGAACTTGCACTTTGTTAATATTTCAATAATTTAAGAGATAATCTCTAGCTAGATAATATTATATTGCTTCCTTAGAATCAAATTCCATTTTTCAAAAATGTACATAATAAGGCTTTAAAGTTTTGTTTTCTGTAAATTTGTATTTTAAGCCTTTGTGAAATTTAACTGTTGTGTAACAACTGTCAGAGAAATAGCCATGAATTTTTTAGCCAAGATGCCCTGGTGGATTTAGAACACAACAGTGTTGAAATCTAGAAAAAAAAGTTGAGTTAGAACAGTCTGATTCTAGGGTAGCAATATTTTGTTGTTATCTTAAAAAGATATGTTTGTAAACCAAATTTAATTTTTCTTAATATCTGTAAAAATAAATTCAACAGAGGATCCGGTTGCTCTGTCTTCCATCTGTATATTGGGGCCCAGCTCTACCAAAGCACAGAGAATTAATCACCTACGTAGATGGATTTCAAGTGGATCCACTCAGAAATTTGAAATCCAAAAATAGATTTGCTAACAGAAGACTCCAGCGGTCCTTGCAACCTAGTGTAAAGGTAACCATTAAAGTACTTACTACAGCCTGAATTAAACAAATTATAATAAAATAATTTTAGTGAATAACTTTTCTTAACCTTTTCATAGAAGTAGAAGAATCTACATTTATAAAATTCCAGCAAAAATGTGTATAAAAATTTGAAACCACCAAAATGCATTTTTTAACTAAATATCGGTGTTAGGGCATAGTTTAATCAACAGCATTCAAAGTTCGAGGTATGGGGTTTTTAAATCAACTTTGTTTTGGGAACTTATCTCAGAATAAAGAAACAACCATGCTACAAAATGTTAAAGTAATCTGAAATGTTATTATTTTAGTGCTGCAATCTAATTAATTAAAATTAAAGACACTTCGAAACTGTGCAGTTCTTCCATTACAGACTGAGAGCAGGACGTCTTTACTTGCCTCGCGTATATCAGTGATCTCAAGTTTATCAAAGATGACGATTGGGACGCAGCGTTCAGAGAAATCAGGAATTTCTTTTGAAACCAATGTATAAAGTAATGTATAGGCCTACTGATATTGAGAAAATGTGATATCAAAAATATCATCTGCTTAAGTTAATTTACATATGTTAAAATAAATTTTATTTTAAGTTTACTCATGCACAATAAAAGAACCAGTTTAATTTTTAATACACCTTTTTGTTTTAACTCTAGAATCACTTTTGTGATATGTAAATGACATTTTGTATATACATTGTTTCATGAGTATTTGAATTTATATTTTACTAACTGTTTATGTATTCGAAAAAACCATAAGTTAAAAAGGGCATATTTTTTAAACCGTTTCTAACATTTGTAATTCAATCAAATAAAGCAAAATGGAAATATTTTCACTTATGTTTTGTCTGTTTTTATCAAAATATAGATAGATTCATACTATTCAACTCAACAAAACATACAGGCCAACATGAAAATGGCACTAAATACGTATGGAATAATTCCTAACACAAACTAAATGACTGAATGAAGCATTCATCATTGACCTCATGTATATGGTGTAAAAGTAAAGTTCCCTTTTCAAACCTGACGGTCTATAGGGCAAGTGATGTAAAGTTCACTTGTTTCTATGACCTCAGCATATGAAGAGATAGTGTGGTCAGCACTATGCCCAGCCGCCTTTACTCTCACTAACTTGAGTTAGGTACCCATCAAAGTTGGGTGGACTCAGGGACGGTCTACTGACTTGAACCCGGGTTCGAAGTAGAGACTTGCTTGTTAGCAGTCCAGCTCTCTACAGCTAGACCACTCCTTCCCATATGTATTTGCTGAGGTGAAACAAAACATTACATTTTGTGAGATGTGTTACTTTAATTAGAATAACTTCAAATTTTCAAAATACTAGTGTCAATTTCTGTTGAAAATGATTAATATAAAAGTAAATTATGATACTGTAAATTGCTTCACTCTTTTAATAATAGTACATGGTGCTATTGAAGGTATTATGAATTAATCCTTGGTACTTCAAGTACTCGCCACATGTACTAGATCATTTTGCAAAAGGGAATCCAAATTATCTGTAACAGTGGCAAAGGCCTTTCAAGAAAATCCTACTGATCAAATTAATGAAAGAGAACAATGGGTTTCAATTTTTAGCACTCTTTTCTAAGCTAATTCATTTTAATCTAGCTATCACCCCAACACAATGCAGATTCATTCATGCAAATTATATTTACGTAAGATGATAAATAAAACATTTTAAAATCATATCCAGTACTTAATGTAAGGCGATAAACCAAGTTCAAGTAAAGGGCAGCAGAATGCTAAAAATACAACGAATTAGAGATCAAGTAAGTTACGTTAGTTGTTTATTCAGCATCATTCTTAACATAATTTTTCAATAAAATGGATGAATTTAAAATAAACCTTTAATAACAATAAATTACAATAAAATTTACATATAAGTAGCTTTCAGTTAAGTTTTTCAAGTATTAAATCTAGTTTTTTAACCATTTTCTGAAAAACTTTCAGTTTTTGCTTTTCCACTTCTAATAGTTCTTTTTTTATGGCTAGTTTTTTATTAGCTGTGTCGACTAGTTCTTTAGAACTTGTCCCTTCACAACAATGGGCACATAACTTCCTTTTCTTGGCTTTTGGTGCCTCTGTTAGTTGGTTCACACATTTCTCCGAAACAATTATTGATGGAATATGTTGTGCTTCTAGCTCTTCAATATCCTGTATTGACATGATATTGACATTGTTTTTATAAGAGTGGAGGTCTACTCCATTTTCAGCTGCGTCTCCAGAACCGTTGAAGTTAGTTATCAGTTCCGTTTGGCAATAAGGTAGTTTGACTCTGGGAATCTGGCAGAGAAAAAGTATCGACAGTATTATAAATACATCTGTTAAAAGCAGCTTAGAAAGAGGTAGTTTAGTTTTGAGATAAATGGTTTACTTAAGAGAGAAGTGGTTAAAAACAAACTGAAGCACTGTACGACTTGTTATGATTAAAAAATTCTTTCTTTACCGAAACTTTAAACATTGTAAACTCATTATGATTAAAAATTCTTTTTTTACTGGAACTTTTAATAGTACTCACTGCTAAACCAACAATTCTTTTCTTAAATTCAGTAATAGATTTGATGGAAGTATCATGATCAGGATTGTCAATTTAAATTATCATACTCAGTCACAGCTAATCTCTGTATTTGCCTTAATTATTCTCCAAGAACAGCTAGATATTTACTTACTATCTTTCTGCTTCTGTACTTGCCAGCTTTTTTAGAACCTTTGTATGTGCCATTGCATTCTCCTTGAGCTTGATGTATTCTATCCACAGCATTGTTTTCATCTTCTGGCTGCACTGTGCAGTCTATAGGACTGGTAGCAGTACATAATCCTGGTCTACGTGAAGTCACAAAGAAAAAAATTACTGCTATAATTGCTGTTTTAGATATGAGTAGCAATTTATACAGACTAAGGGTAAATAAAATCTTGTATTGAACCTGATCAAATTTGGGTTAATTTTTTTAAAGAAAATCAGGCTTTATAATACAACTGTAAAAATACTTTATAATAATAAACTAACTGTTAAATGCAGATAAAAAATAAAAAAAAAATTTAAAAATGACAGACAGAAATTGTGAGAAAATTAAAAGTTTAGAAAAATAACTCACTCTATTTTGCACTTGAGATTTTTACCAACTCGATATTCGATATTTAAAATATCTTTTAAAGATAAAGATTTCCCAGTTTCTTTCCTAATTTTTTCTCTGATAACCATTCTGGCTAATCGTTTGTCTACTTGGCTGTTAATAAAATGAAAAACTTCAATCTCTGTTTCTTTATCCAACCTCTTTTGCCGTGAGAAAGATTTGTAGAGTTCCTGAATTATTTTGAAAACATACACAATTTTAAAACAAAATTTTAAAAAAGTAATGTCCAATAAATTAAAACCATTGTATGTCTTTTTGAGTGGTTCAGCGCTTGATTGCTAGTCTGAAGGACCAAGTTCTGATCTTGGATCCTTGAGTCCACCCAGCTCTGATGGGTAACTGACTCATGTTAGGGAAAATAAAAGCAGCTGGGCATAGTGCTGACTACACCATCCTTTCAAGCGCCGAGGTCAAGACACATGCTAGTTCTGACTCTTCTGCCCAAGGTCTTAAAGGGGTACTTTACTATAAAAAATCAATTGGCAACTTGATAAAAGTTTTTATTGGTAGTGCCTTATAAAACCAAATGGGTGATTTTGGCCTAACTAAAAATAAAGTAAAATTTAAATAATTTAACTAATACTTATTTTGGTGTTACCTATTATAAAAGATTTGTCTCAAAGAATATAATAAAAATGTAAAAGTTGCAAACAAATATATTAAACAGGTTACTAATTAAATGATGTTGAAAACTTTTTGATAAGCCTACATTATAATATGTATTGGAAAAAACATACCGCCAATATTTTTTTTACCTCTGAAATTTCATGATTGTGAATGTCCAATACACTCTCTTTAATAACCAGCTGCTGACCATCTTTAGTAGCACCCAAACGTAGTCGAACAGGACAATCTAGTTTCCGAGAACTAAATATTTTAATATCAACAATAAATCAGTAAAATGAAATCATACACTTATAATACACCTAAGAAATGAGGATGAGAAAAGTTTTTTTTATAAGAAGAAATAAAATCATTATATATTAAGTAAGGAAATCACCATGCTTGCACCTACAACCAGTGTTTCTTTTAGACATTTATTTAACTTCTTTTTCATTAGGAGGTGGCAGTGGGCATGCTTAGTTAGTTGAGTTTTGGTTTGGGATAACTTGGAGAAAAAGATTCTCTGGCAATTACAAGCATAGTTTTAAAAAGGCTAGCTACAAACAACATTTGCAGTACTATAAATGTCATAAATAAATGCATCACTTTTCATTGTCTAAAAAACTGCCAACTGAAAGGATCAACTTACATGTTTTAATGCACTCTTTAAAATTCTATGAAGCAGAACTCTAATTTTCAATATGGCTACACAGATATCTTTAACTTAAAATATTTAGGAAGTAATTTTTGTTGGTATTAGAATTACTACACTAACCCTAGCATTACCACACAGAAATAATCACTACAGTACTGTATTTACAAAGTGGCAAACATAGATGGCTCAACTGTTTTTATTTACTTTGAAGCACGCAGTCCGGTAGAAGTAGAAGGCTCTTTTTTAGGTCCAAATATACACGTGTAACAAACTTTAGCGAATGTCAGTTTGGGGTTGAACGTTTTAATCAAGGCTGAGGCTTGGGCTTTGGCAACTGTTTGTGAGCTGGACCTGGCGAATTGCACAAAGTGTGTGTCCTCATACTGTTGCAGGGCTGTTTGAAAAGCATCAAATGAATCAAAGTGAGCACCAATGCCTAGGGTGTTATCCATGGCACTGGCTGTTTTCTTGCAACTGGTCTAAAAAAAAATATACAGTATTGAATTAAAATACCATTTGAGTGATTAGAAAGTTTTTATGCAGTTTTTATAGAATTTTGTCAAAGCACAAAACTGGGGTTTTTTTTTTTTTTAATTATTAAAATATTAGTCTAAAGAGAGATAAATATAATATCAGCTTTGTTTTTATTTCTTGCGAGGGCTTAAAACGCTGCTGTTAAGTACTTGAACTATTACTTCACTAAGACTTAAATAAAGCGGGAGTGATCTCCCTTTAACTTTCTCAAATATTCTTATATAATTATAACGGTAGGGTGGATCGCGACTCGGAATAGACATGATTTTTAATCCATTTTTAATTACTTAAACTTGTATAAATAGAATAGAATCTTGTAGAAAAAAAGAATTGCACGCACCATGTAAACGCCAACAATATCTGTATAATAGTGCAAAATAATAGTACTTTATAAATTCATATTTGATTTTTGCGAAATCGGAAATCATGTAAATTAGTACTTCCAGACAACGAAAATTACTCAAAATTTGAAAGAAGGCAGAGAATTAAATCTCTTACTTACATGTGAAATTTCATTTATCAATCAGAAACAGTACTCAAGTTATACGCTTTTGAAAAATTGACAGTAGAATAAGTTCCACTTCGGGTTGCCGGAAATCGCTGAAAAGTTGCTACAGAACAAATTTGATATAATACTTATACATGGTAAAAGTATATTTTTCTATTTAAATTCAGACCAATTTTAAGATTAGACAAATAAATTAGACAGTAATGTTACTGTCTTTATTATCAATGACATCATTATTATTGACTAAAAGTAGGGTCTTACATTAGTCTGTATGATCTAAAAATCTGACAAGTGTTTCTTTAAATTCTTTAAAACTTTTTCTCCAAGAGGGGAGGGGGCGTGGACTAATTCTCCCGGGGAGGAAGACACTGGTAGAAGTATATATTTTCTATATAAATTGGGCGGTAGACATTTTACGCCACCCCCGCCAACAACCAATCAAAACATCAAAACACGCGCTTTCTCAGAGTTTTGGTTGGTAGCTGACATCACACGATGCATTTTTTGGAGCTAAAAAGGGCCTAATAAGCCATTTTATTTTTATGTGTAGTTTTGGTTAAGGCACGACACACAACATTGTGCGTGCATGGTATGTGGCCTGATGGACTGAAAGAAGATTGTTTATATTACTGTTGCGAGTTTATATTTATTTAACTCAATGCCAATGCAAAAAGCCCGCCGGTTGGTTGAGGCTACACCAGGGGGACATTCTGACCGGGATTCAAAGGAACGACTCGAAATAATAAATATTAAATATCTTCTGACAAGACTCTATCAACCTAACCGTCCTAAAGTCTAAAGCCTCAAATGACCATTTGTCTAGTTTACTAGTACTGTAGTAGTAGTAGTACAGTCTTGATTTCTAGAACTATAGATATAGATCTAGAATCTAGATCTAAATTTCTAAATAGAGGCTAGTGAGTAGTGAAGTCTAGTCTAGACTAGACTCTTCTAGACTCTAGATCTAGATTCTGGAATCTACCTAAAATTCCTAAAACGATAGATTTTTTAGATTACCGATTTTATTCTAAATAAGTAAATAATATTCTAAGATCGAAAATCTACTAGATTCTAGATTTTTTTATAGATCTAGATCTAGATCTAGAACTAGAATCTAGAGAGATTCTAATCATTCTAGATCTAGATATAGTCCTAGTGTTTATGTTACTCAGTTAGGTTCTCTGATTTATTAGATTTTTAGATCTTCTAGTTAAGACTAGTCACTAGATCTAGATTTAGATCTAGTCCAGATAAATCTAGATTTCTAGATCTAGATCTAGATCTAGAATTAAACTCTAAATATTCTAAAGCAGACTTTTTTTTTAACATTATTAATATTTCTAAAACAAGAATAATATTGAAGAGTAAACAAACACCCGGTAGATTTGTAGAAATCTGGTTGATCTTTTATTGAAGAGTTTAAAAAAATAGACTAGCATTAGATTCTAATGATTAAATATTATAAAATGTTGGGCTAGTACTCTAAATCCTAGCAGAAACTAGTAAAATGTAACGCCAGTCCACCCCGTCCCCACCCCCTCCCGCCCAATGACGAATTTGAAAAAGTAATTTAGATATCTAGGTCTATATGGAAAATAGGTCCTATATAGTTTAATCTATGCCCCCCAGTGGAGTCGCGAAGTCGGGTGTCACCCGGTGCGGGACATCATGGTGTGCCCCCCCCCCTCCCCCGAAAAGGTCTACATAGTCCAATATATGTAGTTGCAATAAGTGACATTCGCCTCCCTGCATAATAGCGCTAATTTCTGCGTATAATCTACCGATTAATTCATTATTCACGTGGGGGAAAAAAAACCATCGTTTTCAACGTGTCATTAGATTTTGGTGTCACCCCCTCTATTGTCGTTATTGACTTATCAGCTATTCAAAATACTCAAGAAGCAGTTATTCCTCTCTAAATTCTGCAGTTGATGTCACCCCCCTCCCCCCCCCCCCCCCCCCCCGGATGATAGCTTTAAAGTGTACACAGTTAATAGTAAAGATAGTTATCTGTATTCGTCAGTTATTAATACAGGTGGATTAATTCTTATTAATCATTAATTGAACTGGCAAAAAGCATTTTTCTTCTATATATTGTGCAATTTTTCGCCATTGTGTCACCCCCCTAAATGGTGTCACTCGGTGCGGTCCGGGCCCCGGCGCCCCTGCCTCGTGAAGCCTCTGCACAAATATTTTTAGTCGTGCCGACTTCATAAATTAGGAATTACTAAAAAAGAAATTCGACCATTTAAATCAGAAGGATTTACACCGGATTGGTGAGTAGGGGAAACAACTAGTATTAACGCGCATTGTACGATTTTGTAACAGTTAAAAGTACCCTTAAGAGTTAGTGACTGCTAAAAACCGCTCACCTATCAGAGTTTCTTCCAGGCATCTCTTCGGGGGGCTCCGCCCCCCCCCCCCCCCCCACCGAAAAAAGTCTACCGCCCCCCCCCGAACAATATGGATTTTATATAGTCAACATACACTTTTACTAGTGTCCGCCCCCCCCCCCCGAACGAGATGGATTTTATATAGTCAACATACACTTTTACTAGTGTCCGCCCCCCCCCCCCCCCGAACGAGATGGATTTTATATAGTCAACATACACTTTTACTAGTGTCCGCCCCCCCCCCGAGAAAAAAATCTGGAAGAAACACTGTCACCAATAGTTTCAAACGCAAAGCGGAGGGATTTATACCGGATTGGTGACACTTTTAACACTAAAAAACAAGAAACCAACTAGTATTAACGCATAATGTACGGTTTCTCCAGTCTCCAAGCATTGTTGTGAAGAAATAATCCTATTGTAGTTACTAGTTACGTTTCAATTTTTCAAAGGGAGAGATCAGAGACTTTTACTTGATTGCATTAAAGAGAAAAAAAATTGCACAGATTATTATGTGGCTATCTTACCCAGTGTTTCTTCCAGACTTTTTTCTCCGGGGGGCACTTGAAATTTTCGGGGGGGGGGGGGGGGGTAGACTTTCTTCGGGGGGGGGGGGGGGGAGACACTGTTAAAAGTATATATTTTCTATATAATTATATAAATTTCATTTCGTTTGGGGGGGGGGGGGAGGCGGCAGAATTTTTGCGGGGGGGGGGGGGGGGGGGGGGGGGGCTGGAAGAAACTCTGATCTTACCTGTGAAATAGCATGGAGTTGGAACGGGTTGAGTGGAAGGAGATATATTTTGGCCGAGATTGAAAAACCGAACTAAGAAAAAGATAAGCAAGCCTTTTACATTCATAATTACCTAACTGGAATTTTTTTTTTAAATAAAATAGTTAATAGTACTGAAGAGATGAAAAATAAAAAACCTTTTTTTGTTACTTAACTCATACATTACAACCTTACGGTGTCTATTTGTTTCTAACGCGGGCTTATAACACAAAACTACTATCGAAAAGGGGTCATCCATTTATGACGTCCACACGGGGGGGGGGGGGGGGCGAAACAATTGGCTTTTGCGGACGCGTGTGGATTTTTAAAGTGGAATTATGTGGATTTTTGTGGTGGGGTGGAGGGAATCCAAAATCCAAAAAAAGCGTGGACGTCATAAATGGATGACCCCGAGGGCCAACATCTTTCGACAGCAACATCATTTAGCTATCTATCCGTGTATTGCAATGTGAAACACACTAGCCCCTTCAAATTTTCACATATTTACGAGGACGGCGGCTAATTTTAAACGTTTATTATATTTAAAGACTCCCCCCCCCCCGCCCTAGCTCGTCTACCGCACATCATAAACTATACATCAGTCTGTCGACTAGACAACCGTGTACTCGCTGGTCCTATCCATTTGTTCTAAAATAGGTAGTTGTTGTTTTCAAGCTCCATCTATGGGTATAGACGCATAAAAAATGACTAGGAAGAGATTATTGCACCTGCAGAGGCGTAACGACCCTTCCCGGCGCCCGGGGACAAACTTTCAATTTGGCACCCCCCCCCCCCCTCAACTGTTTCATTTGCACCCCCCGTCAACTTTTCTATTTGCACACCCCCCCCCCCCTTCTTAAACTGCAAAAATGCAGCTACGCCTCTGTGCACCTGCACTTTAATTTTTTTTTTTTTTAAAAAGGTAACCCTTTCTGAAGTACATTCCACTTTCGCTCTTCTAGTACCTAGAAAAAACGTTTTAGAATAATATAGGCGTAGACTTTATATTAGTGCAATTACAGCTAATTTTCGCAGGAGAAATTGCTAAGCTCTGACTGACCAACCTACGATTAGCCCTCTTTGGGATAGTCGTATAGCTTTTCAAAATGATGCATCACCCCGTCTTTTTGTTCGGAATAAGAAGATCAAGAGCAGATTTAGGATTTTTTAATACCCTTATGATAATAAAATAAAATTTATATTGATTATTATTGTATCAAAGCAGTGTACGACAAATCAAGTGATTGAAATGTTACTACAATGGATATTTTGATAAACCAACAAACTCTATTAGATAGTTTAATATTTATTTAAAGCAAATTCACACAATAAAAAAGCATATGTCAATGAAAAAAATAAAATTACAATTACTCTCTCACACACACACACACACACACACACACAAATAATCAAACGTCCGTCAGTCGATTGCAGTTTTTTTTTTTTTTTAATGTCACCGGAAAAATAAGTCACAGTCAATATAATCACAGAATAAAGGTCACGTGAAAATAAAATTAAAGGAAAAATGGCACAAGAAAAAAAAGTTCTGCTTGCAATACGCCCCGTTCAGCTCCAGTCGTTTGGATCCTATTGTTTAACTTACAAGGGCAGACCTGCCGCTTGGTTGTCTATTCGACGATACCTCAATCCTTGTTGCGGTTAGACGGTGACATTGTTCTTTGATTATAGGGCTGGTAAGTAGGTCACCAACCAGTTCTATGGCTCTTGCAGGTTTTATTGAGCCGTAGAATAGGTTGGTGACCTACTTACCAGCCCTATTGTCAGTGGCGTAGCGAGGTCGGGTGTCACCCGGTGCGGCACTTAACGGTGTCACCCCCAGAGGCGTAGCGACCCTTCCCGGGGACATACTTTCAAATTTTCGATTTGCACCCCCCCCCCCCCGTCAAACTTTCGATTTGCACCCCCCTCAAGTTTTTCTTTATATATTTTGCTCTTTTTTGCCTTGGTGTCACCCCATAAATGGTGTCACCCGGTGCGGTCCGCACCCACCCCCCCCCCCTCGCTACGCCTCTGCCTATTGTCACCCCACCTGACAAGTGGGTGGATTGTTTTCATTGTCGACCTCTGTCTGACTGGTAGTTTTTATTTAGGTCACGAACGAGTTAAACAGATCAAACCACCAAAAGATAAAATTATTTTTAAAATAGTAATCATAACCGAGATGGAGATGTAAAATTAGAAAACCAAAACATTAATCGAGTAGACGACTTTATATATCTCGGAAGTGTGGCCAACAGAGGCGTAGCGACCCTTCCCGGCGCCCGGGGACAAACTTTCAATTTGCACCCCCTTCTCAAACTTTCGATTTGCACCCCTCCCCTCAAACATTCGATTTGCATCACCCCCACCCCCCGCTTCAAACTTTCAATTTTATACTTTTTAATGCAAAAATGCAGCTAAAATGAGATTTTAGTTTGTTTTTGAAACCGAATTTGGCGCCCCCTAAGGTCGGCACCCGGGGACATATGTACCCCCCCGCCCCCCTTCGCTACGCCTCTGGTGGCCAATGTGTTGGGAATGCTCTGTGAATCCGGTCAATGTGTCGGGAATGCTCTGTGAATCCGGTCAATGTGTCGGAAATGCTCTGCGAATCCGGTCAATGTGTCGGGAATGCTCTGAGAATCCGGTCAATGTGTCGGGAATGCTCTACAAATCCGGTCAATGTGTCGGGAATGCTCTACAAATCCGGTCAATGTGTCGGGAATGCTCTGAGAATCCGGTCAATGTGTCGGGAATGCTCTACGACTCCGGTCAATGTGTCGGGAATGCTCTAAGAATCCGAGACATGGAAAACATCAGGGGCAACAACAAGAAAAAAAACTATTGACGCTTTAAACGGCATTGAATTTAACAAGTATGGCATCATAAATGCTGAGTGTTTAATTTAACAAGTATGGCATCATATAAATTGCGGTTATATAGTATTTTCGTTTGTAGATTATATGTGCAAAGAACCTACAATAGCGGTAGGTGCTAGGTAGAAAGATAAATAAAAACCGGTGTCATCTATATATAAATGTTGGCAAATTAAATCACTGTCATCCAAATAGAAAGTGATATTTGTGACGTGTACAGCTAAGCGATATCCGTCAAGATTGTTGAGAATATTGTATCTCCTCAGCAATGTTTCTTTCGTCTGTATATATAAAGAAAAGATATTGATTTGTAAATTTTAACGTGCATATAATAAACAGGTAAAGTACTTTCTTA